CTGTACTATGGTACACCCTGTGCAGTGTTTTCCTTTCATGTTCTGGCCTCAACATTTCTCTCACAAAATTGAAGAGTGGCAGAAGGGTGTTCTAATTGTTATGTGGACTTGTTGGTGCACTAAACACACACTGTGCGGTGCTTTTCCTGGGCTGTGCCTGCCTCAACATTTATGGGAGGACCTTACCAGTGCGGAAGGGGGGGAACTAATTGTAATATGGCTTTCTGGCTGCGCTATGGTACACCCTGCGCAGTGTTTTCCTTTCATGTTCCGGCTTCAACATTTCTCTTACGAGCTTCAATAGTCGGAGAAGAAGGTTGTAATTGTGATATGGACTTGTGGGCGCACAAAAATACATTCCGCGTAGTATTTTTCCCAGGTTGCCGTGGCATTAAACATATCTGGAAGAGAGAGGGGCTTCAGAGCTTTACGAGATACATGTCGCTTTAGAGGTATAATTGTAAGGTTGCCGTTTGTTTGCACTATACAGTGTGTGTTGCGCATGTTTTTTTGTGGAAAGCATTGCTCCAACAATTTATATAAGAAGTACAGGTCGTTCAAGGATGTCTAGGGTAGAATTGTAATCTCCGATGGCAGGGACACCATGTTTAGACAAGAGCATCGAGTCCTCCACTTTATCTCCCTTTCCCTTTCGGTTGTTCTAACTTTCGGTTGATCTCGGTTGAGCCATTTGTGCTGCACGAAAGCAAAGCGAGAATCTCCGGATTAAGTTCAATCTTGAGCTCAAGATGCCCAAGTTCATGTTCCAAAGGCATGTGGAAACTGTCGAAGCAGAGAGGTTCAAAGCTATTACAAAACACACTCGTAAAACGTCGACAAGGAAGGGGGGAAATTGTAATTTGCTCTGTGTGGTACCCACCTATAGATTCTTACAATTTCCACCCCCCCCCTCCTTTCAAAGTCTCCAGAAGTAGGCCAAGACCTCTTTGAGGGGGGGGGGGGTCAAAAAAAGGTAACATCCTCACATAGGCTACCTCAACCCTAGATCTTACAATTTTCACCCCCCCTATAGGGCTATATAATGCTATTGTTGTGAAATAAAAAAATGTAAGTTACAATGTTGACCCCCCCGGGGGGGTCAAGCACCGCAAGGGGGTGGTGATATCAAACATATAATAACATATATATAGGTATATATACGTGTGTATATTTTAACCGTCTGGTTCGGGTTTACATCATCTTTGAGGGTCGTGCCATCTACTCTTACACCACTTGTAAGTATTTCCCTCCAGTTCCAGCGAGCTTGCAAGTCTGAGCATCTCTTCTTGGGAAAATGCAGTACCTGAGAGCTTCCATTGACCATTCTTTACATCAGGACGGAGAGTCTTTGCCATGCTAAGCCATGCTAACAAAACGCATGGATGTTTTGTGGGGTCTTGGGCCGCTTAAGTCCTTGAAAGACTAGTTGTTGATAGCTGTTGTAAGTGATGCCCGTTCAAAAAGGTGTCCAATATTGTAACTTCTTCCACATATTGCAATCTATTTGATGTAAGGTACAGCCCTGACATCATCATATCCTACTATCCCCAAGGGCTAGTTTGTTGTAGTAAAAAAGAAGAAACTGTTGGGGATAGTTGGGGTGCTGCATCTTTAACTTGGCATGCCAACTTGTCATGTCCAGTTCTCTAGGTTGGACGAAGTCTTCGGGGGACCACTTGGCAATGTGGTACAGGTGCGGGAGGTCTCGTCCACAAAGCATGGTAAGGCTGGTAAGGCATTGTAAAGAGTTGAAACAACATACAATAGTCAAATATCGTCGAATGGGCTACACTCCCTGAAATAATCATGGAAGTGGATGGCATGGCCGCGCCGCTTGGATGACCATTTTTTCCTCTACTATAAACCGATGGTTTTCCACTTCCCCAGGCCAAGGTGGATGAACAAATTGGCAATTCAAGGCGCACGCGCGCAAGTGTAGGCCCAACCCACAAGGTTCGAGTTGAGATCTTGGTCAGAGACAGAAGGTCAACTGCGTCCAAAACGATACTTTCTTGCCCAGTCCAGCTATGGTTTGCAAATGCCATCCAAACGCACCTGCAAGTTTAAAGGAACAACATGGAACGACATAAACATGGTTCAGGTATCTACAACATTCTACACCAATTGTCCCCATGAATGATTGAATAACTGTTTGAACATGTTCAACTTCTTCAAGGGCCGCAAGGTCTGTGTTCCCTCTTCTAACCTCCGAGACTCATGTTCTTAATAAAACATCATCAATCCACGCCCACCCTCGCACTTCTCACATGCCGCACCTCTCCCACGGCCTCTCCACCGTTGCGGCCCCAGGCACGGAAGCAGCCCCCCCAGAAGACCATGCCCTCTGCACATCGGAGACCTGTCCCGGTCGATCCCAGTGCGGTGATTCAACATCTGGCGTGGCCCCGGAAAACATGCACCTTTTGATCCCAAGCTGGAGTTCAGGCATTCCTGATCCCTTCGGAGTCATTTGGATCATTTGGGGGCAACTTGACACTATTCTGTCCATGTCTTCGGTGCCGCCCATGCATGATCTTGCAAGCAAGGCGAGCTCGCCCCAGCTGGCAAGATTGTAAGCCTGTGGTATGGACCACAGGCTTAGACAGGCCAAGGCGACCTCACCACCAGCAACCAGTGATGTAGGTGCTTTATGGACCCTGGAAACCATGTCTTGTCCATCCAATATCCCATCACCATCCGAGTCCCTGGGTGCTAACTTGGTCTGCGGTTCTGTTGGCGTATCTATTTCGTACCGGTCTCGAGATCGGTCCGAAGACATCTCCAAAGACGTCCGCCAAAGACGTGCACGATTTGTTTCTGCACGATCCTACTCTCGGTCCTCAACTGCCCAACTTACCTGTGAACATGCCTTAAAGACAACAGCACGACATAGAGCAAGCAGTGCACAATATCAGACGAGAAAAAGAAACATGTAAAGTGTAAAATATATTATATATATATATTTTAATTGTTATTATATGCTTATCCATAATTAAGATGAACATGTAACATGGAGATTTTATGGCCGCTCTCATGAAGGCGCTTCTTTGCCAAGCTGCTGATCGTCTGGTCCTCCAAGAGAAGCTGCTGCTGTGGTGCAAAAAGCCAGGCCACACCACTCAGCCTGGGCGCCAGGGCCACGCCGACGTCGGTCGTCCGTCGTGCCGACGTCAGTGCCGTGCAGATGCTCCTCAACAGCACCAGGCACTCAGGTAGAACATGGAGTTCTACATGGTACGAGTAGAGCCCTTTTTCGTTGACCCGGAATGTGGCAGCCAGGTGTTTGTCTTGGTTCACACCAAGATGGCCAAATCAAATGCATCTGCAAGTTTGGGCCCCAAGAGGTTTTGATGATGACCTATCCGCACGGAATCCTGCAATTGAAGGTCAGGAGTTTGACAGTCGCTCATGTTGCTCACATACATGCCAAATACTAATCGGTGTATCATATATTAATCATGAGAGGATTTTTTTGGGGAAGTTGTCAACAGTCTGTGCACAAACATTGTAAAATACTGATGAAACAAGATCCGTTTTGGATTACCCAACGATGGTCAAGACTGCCTTTGAATATCCAACCAATCACTCTAGATCTATCAAATCGATCGGAAGCGACGGCACCCTGCGAACCAGCGGCTGGATGCGAACGATGGCACCATCACCTGCGAAAAGAATGAGGGTGCGATGAGCGACACGGAGGAGGAGCAGTTTTTAGTTGACGAATTCCTTATAGTTCCTTATTATTCCTTCTAATAGCAATGGCCTCCAACCTAGTAGCGACGGCCTATAAGTCATGGCAGTGGGTCATGGCACCAGGAGACCCACCGGCTGACCGCCGGCTCACATGGTGGACCGGTCGTGAAGCCGGCTCACGCACGGGTCACGACCCGTCCCCACATGGCGTGGTCGCTCAAAATAGGGAGAGTGCGTCCTAAACCAATGGGCATGGTCGCCAATGATTCTGACCCCAAACCGTGGGGTCTGGCTGCGGGTCCTCCAATTCAAACACACCGGAATTAGTATGCTGTCTCCAACGAATGAGCAATAAGCAAGGCCATCTGTGTGGGTCCACAAGCAGGTGTAAAGCAGGACAATGGAAAATAATGTCTAAGGCGCACAGTGGGTGACACGAGTAGCACCAAAGTCATCCAGGTTCCCTCTCATTCCAGATCCAAATGAACCAGTTTAGCTAGGTGGCCGAGTGTCTCCCTGTATCAATGCTTATCTCAAATGTTATATAAATAGTATCAAATAGTTAAAATACTTTTATATAAGACTTAAACAGTAAAAGTCTGCAGAAAGATGTGATTTGTCCACCATCATATGCCTTGCGTCCAAACAAACACCCGCGTTGTGCGTGAAAACCGTGAGCCTTGGATCAAGGTCAACTTCTCCCCCACAATGTCCAACCTCAGCTCGAAGCGTTGGACCGCCGAGGACCTGTGTCCACGCTGAAAAGGGGAATCCTGGAAAGGGGAACTTCCTCTGGAAAGGTCGAAAGAAAACGGTAGAACTTCCATGATGTTCCCCTTTTCTCTCTTTTTGCTGGGGGCACTTGGCAAGAAACCTGCCCCAAATAGAAAAAAAACAGTCTGAATTCTCTTGACGAAGATGCGATGGGAAACAGTTGGCTTCCGGCAGTTTGAATTTGAATCGTCGTCCTTGCCGTCTGTAATCTAACAAACACTCTGGTTTTTGGAGCGATTCCGTTTCAGCACTTCCTGCCCCCAGCACCCCCGCGCCCTCCTGCGCCGTGCGGCAGCGCGGCGCGGTCGTACTTGGGCAAATCCCCGCGCTCCGGTCGCTCGGGCGCCGCCAAGACCAGGCTCCGCAGGGCCTGGCTCGGTGCACCAGGTGTAGCGGATACAGACGTCTAAAGGCACTTGCTGGAAAGACGTCTAAAGCCAATAGAAACATCCTCTAATGTGTTGTTGTTAAAAATATCACTACATCGCAAATATACAAATATATTAGTTCTTTAAATATAACTTCACAAGTTCCTCTAGTAGGTCAAGTAGGTGGTAGGTGCTACAGTTGCCATTGCCCCAGCCTCTGGAGGCACTTCGCCCTCCAGGCGTCCCAACGGCCAAGTGCCCGGCCGGACGGCCGCCTCGCTGCTGACACTGCCCTGGGAGCGGGAGCGGTGGGGGTTTTCGGGTCACCTAAAACACCTGTGGGTTTTTCTTGGTGTGATCATAGTAGTAAATGTAGTCTATGATCATAGTAGTAGATCCACAAAAAGCTGCAAAAAACACATCTTTTTGGAGCTCTTTTTGGCCATCATGAGAGCTACGCAGCATCTGCACAATGCCGGCCTGCAGTACCGCGCCCACCGACGAGACCAAGAGCTCAGCGGCCTTTCCCTCCCAAAGCACCTGAGCTTGCAATGATCTCCGGATCCAGCAAATAGACACTGCAATTAATTCTTCGAAACGCGTGACCGGTTGTGTGGATGTAGTGTGCGTGCATGTATCTGCAGGAGTGGAAAACCCAAGAAATCCTAATCTATAGAGTCTAGTTTTGGTCACTTCATTATGTCTTATCCTTAATGTCCCATTCAAGAACTATGCTATAGACTCTACCCCAAAAAAGCTGCTTTCACAAACCGACTGGCCGTATACCTGTTCGAGTCACTGGAACGGCCAAAACGCGTCGCCGGATCGCCCAGCCTCTGGATCCGTCCATGGTGCCAGCAGCCGCACCTTGCGAGTGTAGGCCATCAGCGCGTCGCCGAGTGCAGCTCCGCACTGAGCTGGGCATCGAGCTGAGCCAATGGAGCCGTGTGCTCTAAGAATAGAAAGAAACATGTTGCAACAGGTGCAAACCCGGAAAACCCAGGAGTAGCAGCAGCGGATCCAAAAGATTCCGTGAAGAATTCTTGTGGGATCGTTCTGCAAGTCCCTATCTCTGATTCTTCCATTTCTTCATGCGCATGTGCATGTAGAAAGAGCAAAACCGCCGGAGCCATCGATCCAGAATGGAGTCATCCAAAAGAATCCTGTTGCATGGAGTCACGCCATGGGTATAAGAAACAACCATGGGTATAAGAACCTGTTTCCGTCTCCGGGTAAGAGCATGGCAGCAAAGTACAATGGTTGCATCTTTGCACAAAGTCCACTCATGCGGGTGTTCTGAAAATTGTTGGAGGTAGTCACTTTGTTGGCAAACTGAGCGAAAATGGTCACCCACAGATTATGACATTCTGTGTTTTGTTGCCACCGTGGCCTTGTCTCATTTCGGAAAAACTACCAGCCCCTGGCCCGACTGGTTGGGCTTGAACCAAGCAGCGCAAGGCGCAAGGAAGCCAGACCCTCATGTCATTCCAATAAAAAACAAAGACCTAGTACCTAGCACCACCTAGCACCACCTGATGATTGAATCAATTCGAATTGAAACAACACCATCCCCCCGAGCACCGGTTCTTCGGTGTGACACCACCCCGCCGAGCCGGCGTTACGTGGCGAGTTCCATGGCGGAAGTCTGGAAGGTGGTGGTGTGATCCGTGTCGACTGCAGGTATATGACCCTTCCAAAGACAAGACTTGCCCCTTTGCATGAAACCAAGATCTTCTAGAAAAGAGCACAAGGCAGGCTCATGCAGCTCAGCTTACCCTCGGCTTGCGGTAGGTAGTGAGGAAAAGACAAGGGTAGGAGTCTCTCGCCAAGCGAACTGTAGAAATTCCATGGTGTGTCGAACATGACGTCTCCTTTTTGGTAGAAGACACAAAGCCAAACCACTCTCCCACCAAGCAAATCAAAAACCACCAAGCAAAACGAAAAGGACACCGGACACCAGAAACCCTTTCTTTTGGTGCCAGAAGTTCTATGGCACCAAACTCCTGATCATACCAACTGTGAGGCATAGTCTGAACCAACCTTTTAGATCCTTCAATAGTATGTTCAGGTACCGTAGGTGGTTTTGGCATGTGAGGTGTTCTAGGAACCATTGCTGCCCAACTCTGAAAAGGATCACTTCACGCCATGAGTCCTGATAAAAGAAAAACCTGTCCACAATGGTGGCAAACCATGCACAAATGCAGCTATATACGCTCTATATATACACCGCTTTGCACCCTGTGGCCTAGTGGTACACGCCTCTTTCTCGTGATGTGTAAACCCCTGATTTCTTCCCGCCAACATTCGACACCCGGCCAAAGATTCCCATGAAGTCCCACGCTTTATCCCTCCACTCCACTCATTTCACCCCACCCGTCATCCGTTTTCACTGGACTTCTACCCAGGACTCCGTTTCAACATGAAACCGACGACAAACCACCGGCGAAACCGGCACCTGGCACTCCCTGACCTTTGGAGGGTAAGCCGTGCGCCGACCTGGAGGACGAGTGAAGTGGCCTGGAAACCGTGAAAACAACTTAAGAGGAGCACACCTTCTCGGGCCACATTGGAGCTCGAATACGTCCAGCTGGTGGTTTTACCATGGTTTACCCCATTGATGCAATTCTGTGAGGTGAATCGGGACGCATCATTCATAAACCCACTAGACTAAAGATGTCAATAGAGTGCGGAAACTCTTAACCTTTGCCAATGTCGGGTGCCGACGCAAGCTGCCAGGTTTCTGCTTCGTGACGTCCTTTTCGTTCAACATCTTGAGGTTACGTCTTGTGACTTCAAGGGATTGTACCCCGTTCAAACAAGCACTCCAAAACGCCGAAACGGAAGCGCCGAGCGGCCAGAAGTCCACGCTGCCCGTGGAGTTCGGCCGTTGCGCCTTGCCCACCTTGGACCTGGCGAGTTGTGAGCCTCTCACACCGATGTGTCCCGTGGGGGTGCTCGGGTGGGTTGGAAAAGACATCACTATGAAACACGATGTACTTGGTGAAGCTGATGAACCACACTGTCGTCTTGTCTTTGTTGCTCTCAGCTGTCTTCTCAGTTGGTGTTACGCATGAAAGCCGGCCTTCGTCTGTTGGGCATCCAAAAGCCATCCAAACTTATTTCAAAGTTGCTTGATCAAGCAATCAAGCAATCAAACCTTGTTCCAAACCTATTCAAATTTTATGTGTTCTGTTGATTTTTGTGTGTTTTTGCTTTGTTGCTTCTTGTGCTGTTCCCGCCTGGTGGTGGCCATATCGAAGCTGCTGGGTGCAATGATGAAGGCCTCAAGTGCCGGACTTCGAGTGCTTAAGGAACTGGGAAAAAGTCTCCCCCAGAAGGGAATTCACTCATCTTAGGGAGAATATTTTGTTCACCCCTTAAGAAGCAAAACTAACCCAGGCATTCCGTCGGCAACCAGCAGATGTGCAAAGAAAATCAAACCAAATGGTGCTTTCTTCACGGTCTGTGTGAAGTTTTGCTCAGAACCCTGGTCCAACTGGTCCAACGAATTTTGTAGGTTCTATGATAGGGCAGGTCTCTGCTCGTTTGTCAAGCTGAGCGAGACGTGCTTCATTGGCCTTCAACATAGATGGACACGGCGTCTATCGAGTTGCACGACGTCTACAAGAACCTGCCACGTCTATCCGTCCAAGGCCCAAGGCCAACACTAGCTTGACAAACTCGCGTGTTCTGCGCGCGCTTGAACGCTGGCTTTTGACATGTCCATGGGACACAGTAATAAGTATAAATTGCCAAATTTGGAGGGAGTACAGGGTGGTTGAGTGCTGCAGTGCGATCGTTCGTCACCAGGGTGGTGAGCTCTGCAAGACCACGACCTAGTGACTGGATTGGAATTCCCATGTCAATTTGGAGCGAAGCAAGCGAAGGGAAGCGATTACTATATTGACACCTCAAACACCTTCATGCGTTTGAGAGCTCCCTAGGGCAGCCCACCCTCAGTTTAACAAATAAAGTTCTGAGAGCGCCTCACTGATTATATAGAGGAAAGTAGTATTCCCCAACACTGGCGTCCCTGGCAGGCCATATTCGCCCCTGATGGACAGTCCGCACGAATCATCTAGTGTCAAGTTGGTGGGAAACCAACATATCTGTCTTCGATGGTTTTCGTTCTTTTTTGGTGCATCCCTCCAACACGTCTCTTGGACATGTCTTGATGTGAGATTCACACAAACCTAACAGCTTGCCAAACAATCATGGAAGGAGTTCCAAAAACACAGCGAGCGACTGGTTGGGGAATTTCCTGTAGCTCCTTGGCTCCCCAAAAGAACAAGATTCCACCAGCCTTAGATTAGTCCTAAATTCTCTCTTAGTCCACGATCTGCTACCTTTGGCATTTAATATTCTACATCTAATTTGATGCTGCCTCATTACTGATTACAGTAATTAAGCCCCCACCGTCTTCGAATCTTTGTAGCCGTCACTACTTCTTTCAGATCCAGTGTTCCAAACCGAACATGTTGGTTACAATGTCGCGGTTTGTTGTCTGTTGCGTTGGTCATTGGGTGATGCGCTGCAGTGCCACTGCAGCAAAGTGTCACCATAGGGTGGGTTGTCTAGCTAAAATGTCTAACTAGTTATATACAGTACTTGGGAGTATTGGCATGTATTGGCAAGCTCCATAGCACTCCAATCCTGTCGGGCTGGGGACACAACATACCAAAAACCAGCTGAGGCTCCGGGCAGCGTCGGGCCCACTGTTGGTCGACGGATGGCCTCCAGCGTGGTGGTCGTCCAGCATGTCGGTGGTCGCGCCATCGGATCGACATGACTTATAGCATTGCTGCTTGCTGATGATTGATTTTGCCTGAGCTTGGAGATGTTACCCAAGGCCTGGGGCAAGCCACTTAGCGATCTTACCGAGTTCCACGATGTTCCACGGAATCCAAGGGCCATATTTTGTCCTTCTCACACACGGTCTCAGCGCTTCATTCCGTAACAGCTTCCATGGCTGACGACCTACGACCTGGTCCGGTTTACCCGGTGCCAATGTGGCGACCTGGACTCAGGCGTCACACGTGTTGGCCGTTCGGAACACAGGAACTACACCCTTGCCGAGTGACAAAAACATCAGGGCGGCCTTGGAACAGCTACAGATTTATGATGATTTATGGCCTTCCGTCACTGTAAAGAGTAGGGCAACTCAGCATGTCCTCGACCCTCTTTGATGCTTCAAGGTCCCCTATCCAGTGGATGATAAGGAGTACGGCATGTGAATGAAAAAGGACATCTTACATCTGCAAAATGTGTGTTTGGGTTTGGGGAACTCACCTGATACAGTAGTCGCCAAATGCATACGCCAACAAAAAACCTTTTAGAGAAGCACCCACACAAACGAACCAAACGATACAACACACCCAAAGCAGCTGTTCTTCCATTTATATTACATATTTATCAGCTATTTGATGGTGTTCAATCACATGCCTAAGCAAAGCGTGTTCAATAACCTAGGCAAGTGCAAACTGGACATAGGAAATAAACCTGGACATGGAACAAAAGGATGGTCGCGTATCATCACCATGGTGAACTATGGTGGACCACCAGCTTTTCCGTCTGACGGACGTGGATCCGGCAAAAGTCCGACACCCATGGCCCGGACGGCCCATGTTACACTCAGCGGATGGCCAACCCCGTTGGATGAAGATTCTCCGAAGACCAAACAGGTGGTGAATTCCACGTTGGAGGGCTGGGTGTGCCCTCATTTCCAGAGGCTGCATGGAGTTTTTAAGTAGTAACCGTAGAGCTCCACAAAAAAAACAACTGACCACACGCCTTAGGTGTCGCTTCTGCCGAAGAAGTTGCTTAGCCCTTGATCTTTCGCTGTTGGCCCTTGATTCTTGATTTTTTCTTTCCCGAAAAAGATCCAGTTGTCCCTTTCCTTGATCCAAAGGACTTGGGATTGTCAGTTTGACTTTGATTCTTTCCTTGACTTTGTCAGTTTGTCCCTTTTCCCAAACACCTTTGGATCCAAT